TTTTAGCTCCCTGGTTTCTCATATCCGCACCCTATTTTGTTGTCAGAGTATTGGATAATGGAATTTCCTTTATTTAATTTTAATAATTTTTATTGTCAGTTTGAACGAAATATTTTGACAACCCGTGCTTTTGGATGAAGGTGTCATTTGCCACCGCTCGATTCAGTGATCGTTAGATAATCGAGATGGTGGGGTTTCTTTTCTTATACTTATTTTTTATAGTTATTAGTTGCGTTTTTCGATGTTTCGCTTGAAAACTTCCTTTTTTATTGTGCCTCAATATCTATCTTAGCGGTAACACACTTACATAGAGATATCACTGGTCCCTACCTGCGACAAAATGAACAAAATGAACTTCTGTTTGAGAAAATTTGTAAGATTTTTAGTTTCATCATTTTTACAAAGAAAGCTAGGAGGTTGATTTGTATCCAAATATTTTACCCGGATGTTAGTAGTAACACTCGGTTACCGAAAAGCTAGTCATGATCAGGCACAAGCAAATCACTACGGGCAAATTATTGATATGACGCGCCATCCGCTAGGTGCGCTGATCACGATCGCACTGGACGAAATGTTGCATCTCCAGGTGCAGAATTATTATGTTACCGTCAATGGAGAAAGATTGAGACCTTTTATTTGGAGAACGTGCACAGCTGTACTTATCTGGCTCTTATACGTCCGTGCGTGTGTAAAAGTCGTATGTTTATAATGTACTTCCCAGTTTGCTACATTTTGCTACATTTGGTCAAGTCATTAAAACGAACGATTTGATAGTCCAAGGACGTCTATGGATAGTCATACTTTCACCCTTGGTTCATTTTTATCATTTATAAATAAAATTAATTTAAATTCACATATTCAAAAACTAGAAACTCTAAATCGCAATCGTATCGTTTTAGATTTTTAAAATAATGCTTTACTTTTGAAATACGACTGTGTAAACACAAACGTTGGTCAATATTTACGCGTGAGCTTCGTCTGATTTCACTTGAGAAAAGCGTTGCCAATGCGTAATGTTGATGCACCCACTACTCAGTACATTTAGATCATAGAATTATAAAATAAAGACCCTCTAATCTACATATTAATATGATCATGAATCTGAAATCTATTTAAAAATCCATTCACATTAAGTTATTGAATTGTCCGTCTAAAGTTTACGCTATACACTGAACGGTTCAATCATCAAAAGTTTATTTCTGACTGCCAGCGCAGTTCATTCCTCGATATTTAGACATAAGAAAACATAACTTACACTCATAGTATGGATGTGAATTTAATTACTTTAATACTTACATTCATAATGATTACTGTCGTGAAATTATTTTCGGAATCCGTCCAAGAACAGTGGTGTAAAACGGCTTCTCCTGCGACCAACCTAAACATGTCTGTTTGACGCAACAATTTTGCACTCACGATGTTTTCAAGGTTATTTACAGAAAGATGACGAAAACATTTGACACCATAGCAACTTATAATTTAGATAAACATGCAGTAGCGACCCCCTAGAACCACCATTGAAAAAATCAGAAAAATCTGTTAATTTTAAGCAATTCTATTCTGCTCACCAAGAAAGCAGGTTTTACAAGAAGTATAGACCGGGAGCGCGTGAACACCTAGCGGTAGGTTTTAGAGTGAAAAGCATAAGACGAAATTGGCGCGTCATATCAATAATTTGCCCGTAGTGAATAAGCCTATATCCTGCCAGTCAATCCTCCTAATACCATTGCGGTATTGCCGCAACGATAGCAGTTGCGCTCATGCCGCAATATTAATGTCAAATTCAGTGCTAATATTATTTATTAAATTTGAGTATTTAAAAATTATATTTTGGGTTCACTATTAATTTAAATAGAATAGTATGACGAATCATCACAGATTGGAGTTATATGATAGACTTTTAGATAATAATGCTTGCGTATCGTATTCACTCCGTATTCTTTAAAAATGGCGCGCTGCACGCGTTTTCAAGAGGAATGATTTCTTGAATAAATGGCTAAATATTATATCATTGGGAAACCTTGCTGCATTCTATCTTGTAAAGGAGAGATCACTAGTTCCACGTTCAAACATAGCATAGCAACAACAATCTATCTAGTCTACAAAAATGCCGAAAAGTCGTTCCAGGTAAGAAGTAGAAATTATTTTTCGAATTATTTTCCATTCCAGCCATTCCCAAAACATAAGATATGGGAGTATTTAATAATAATAAAGGGGCTTGAATGGGGTATCGAACAATGACCTCGTGTGTTCCTAGACCCTCCCTTATCTTCAATACAAGCCCAGTGTGAGGGAGATGCAATATTCTCTGAGAGGAATTGCACCTTTCTCTTTAGGAGGACAGTGTGGGTAGCCTTCAATTGTACCATTTCAATAAAGATTTCGTATTGGGGCATGTTAACCGAAAAAATCATAGTAAAGGGGAGATCCGTCGAACTTCGACCATGGGTTTACTTCGTCATGGGCACAGATATTGGCCAGATCGTTTTGTAGTAGGATCTCATACATGTAGGCTCAAAGAATAATTATTGAGCTACTGATCCTACTACAAAAGAATCTGGCCGAAATCTATGGTCATGGGGTTATTTCGACATTGGCTTATATTTTCGATTCACGAAGTCGCCATGTTTGTTTTTTGAATTTTTTTAAAAATAAATTGAAATCTCCAACAGGCATGATCTTGAGGTGCCATGGTCCTGACGAAAAATGCCAAAACAGGAAGTGACAAAACCATACTGAATTTTGAAGATTTTTTGAACCAAGATAACAGCACAGGGGTTTGTATGGAAGATCAGGCAGAGCCCTCGTATGTCTCAAGTCCTAATCTTCCTGTGGATAACAAAGTTCTGTTTTGACCTCCAGTCAGTTTGACTAGTGCCAAATATCATTTACATGACCAGGATCACAGTGTACATGGTCAGAATGACCCTAAACATGATGAAATAATTTTTTCAGCCCTCTGACCATGTACATTGTGATCCTGGTCATGTAAATGATATGTTGAACTAGTCAAACTGACTGGAGGTCAAAACAGAATTTCTGTTACTGTAGATTGGGTTAATTTGGCGCTACTTAATTTGACGATTTTGCCATTTTTGGCATATTGGCGGCTATTTAATTTGGCGGATATGCAAAAAATTGGGCATGTTTGGCTATGTTCATTTTTTCTTTTGAGGACCACTGGCGATATTCACCATGTTTGTACATTTTTGTGTGATCAACCTTTACATTTTGCATTTCGATCGATGTTGCTACTATACCGCGCTTTTCCTTTCTAGTTTTTCCCTGAGTATTAATGGGTGACTGACCAGTTCTGAGCCAATTTATGAGACTTTTTTTCATATTTTTGGAAAAAACTTAACCCGAAGTGACCTAAATACACTGGACAAAATGCCCTAGATAATTCCTGGGGATTCATTCTAAATTTTGGCGAAGATTTATATTGGCGAATTTTACAATTTCGCCAAATTAAAGCGGGCACCAAATTAACCAAATCTACAGTATCTTACTAATGGTTCAAAAAATATTTAAAATCCAGTGGAAATTTATACTGAACATTGATGCCTATAAGCCTCCCATTATTAGACTCCAGATGTAAATCTGGAGTCTATTGTTTTCGTCAGTATTCTTATTCTTTATTCTTTATTATTCTTTATTATTCTTTCCCAGTTTTCTCGATAACCATAAGGCTTCCAATAAAGATCATTATGCAGTCAATTTATGTCCAGTATCTAGTTCCTCGGAAATTGGGTCAAATTTTTATCTAGGTCAAAGGTCAAGAACTAGGTCAAATCCAGTACTTTGTCACTTTTTTCGATTTTCTCGGTCATCCTTCAATATTTTCGATCCGTTTTTTTTTCATTGTATTCCTTATAAAAAAGTAGGAAACCTAGGGTCGATTTAGTTTTTTGATATCTCAAACCGATTTCGAGATATCAGTGTCCGAAAACGAGGTCCAAAAAAAAGTTCTCCGAATCTTGGATCTGACTTCCAGTTCGGAAGTTATGGCGTTTTGAAAACTCAAAAATCGCTAAATTTGGTGCCCATGTTAAGTCAATGGGAAAAAATATTTTTTTGAAGTGAAAAATACGGAATATAGACTGAGTTCAGCTTCATATAATCAAAGCCTTTAAAAGAAGGGGACCTCAAAAGCCATCTAGCTTCACAATTTGGACACCGAAATGCCTAGGTCAAAATCTAGGTCAAATTCATAGGTTTTCCTTATTTTTTTGATTCTGACACTACACTTTAATTATATTCTTCGAAATTGTGTATACATGTAGCCAAGAATATGCTAATAATGTTAGCCTTTTGCCGTCAGAAAGTATTTTGACCCACTTTTGAGATATGGTGTCCGAAAAGTAGGTCAAAATAAAAAGTTCTCCAAATTGAATATATGAGTTATGAATTAAGGGTGGAATTTTGTCAGGAATCCGAATCTGTAAACCAAATTTCGATCCGATTTCTGGTTCGGAAGTTATGGCGTGTCCGAAAAGTAGGTCAAAATAAAAAATCTCCAAATTTAACGTATGAGTTATGAATTAGGGGTAGAATTTTGTCAGGAATCCGAATCTGCAAACCAAATTTCGATCCGACTTCCGGTTCGGAAGTGGTAGCGTTTTGAAATTTCGAGAAAAATCGATCTGATGGTATCCTAATAGAAAGTCAAGAGTAGAGAAGAAAATATTGAAAAATTCATCCATCCTCCTATCTCATCCTACCCTATCCTTCCTATCTATCCTTCCTTCATATCTTTTCCTTCCTATCCTTCCTATCCTATCCTATCCTATCCTTTCTTCCTATTCTATTCTATCATATCCTTCTTATTCTATCCTATCGTTCTTTCCTATTCTATCCTACCTTCCTATTTTATTTATCCATCTCTTTGTAGATGACTCAGCTTATTCTGGATGACTCGGCTAAAAAAAGTCTAGATCTGGAGTCTGAAATTGAACTTCGTTCAATTTCCAAAATCTAGTTATAAATCTGTCCGTAATTAAAAGTTAAAGATGAATGTTTGTATTCCAGAATCAAGCGTCGCGTGAAGTATGATGATAAGCATGAGCATGAAATAGGCACCTTATCACAGCGAAGGCTTGTTGCTGATGCATATTGGAGGACTCAAAAAACTGGAGACACAGTGAATTTTTGGACATGGTACATCAAAGACAATGTGCCCTTTACGATTGAAAACTTTAAGAAAGTTGCCTCTAAAGACCTTGACCTCGACTGTGTGGATGAAGATGGCCAGCCATTATATCCCTCAATATCGAGAATACAGCCAGAACCACTCTTTGATATTATTTGGAATAGTAGCAATCCTGCTTGGGTTCCAAGACAACCAACAAACAAACCACAGTCAAAGATAGATATTCTTAAGGTATGTTAAGTGATTTAAGTACCCATTCTATTATGATTGATGGAAATATGAAGATAAAAAGGCTGAGCATGTAATTAGTGTGTGGGTTTTAAAGCAGTCTTGCATGTGACATATTGTTATGGTCACCAACTTTTGTGTTTGGTGTTCAGTGGTTGGTGTTCGGCAGTTGCTGTCTGTAACAAATGACTGGTGGTGACAGTTTGCATGTTAATGCCTTGTCTATGATTATTGCCAAAACTCAAAAACCAATGGACTGTTTTATTTTTTTCATATGTGATGATATGTGAATACTTGATGGCATAAAAATGTATAAGTTAGGAATGTTAACACATCACATATCTTACAACAGATATCCTGTTATTCATTATATTGTTTTTCATCCTGATTGTTTCTATGATTTGTTTTTTATTATTTTTTTTATTAGGGGAGAAAGAAAATCATATTTTGGATCTGAACTGTTCACCCCAGATGAAGTAGTCGACCAGTATGTCATCTTAAAAAGATCAGCAGTGATCTTACCCCTGTAAGTAAATTTAATAACAAAAGACATTGGGCCTTAAAAGTAGATTCTCTGTTAAATATCAGAGAATTCATTTCATGGCCTATTAAAGTAGAAAAACTCATTCTAATACCATAAATATGAAAGCAATTAACATGTATTCATACCTTTATTATCCAAGCTAACAAAGTTTGGTTGGGATAAAGTGAAACCCTCCATCCATCCATATGAAAGTGTGACAAAATCTTGCCACGATTATCTGGGCAAATTATTGACTTATGTAAGATATATATATGCACAATGGATAAAATTATATTTATTGAAAAATATGAAATGTTTCATTCAGTTGTGTTCAAAATAAGTGCTATGTTCTTTTTGTAGAACTCAGAAGTTGATGTTTGTGGACAAAGCCACTGGAAAGCTGCTAAAGAGAGCTCGCATAGGATGGCACGTCTTGACCAAACTGGTGTATTTGGCTCTACATGCAGACATGTTATACCTCCTAAACTTCTAAACATGTTCCAAGGGGAGATATTCGCTTATGCACACTGTATGCACTCCTATGGCCAAAGGCCATTCTTCTACATGCCAGGTAAGAAAAAGTATTTAACTACAATATATAGTCTTATATATTCTTGGCATATAAGTGTTCCTTTTTTGAATACTGAGAATACCTTTTTATTATTAGCTTCAATGATATGGAATATACAGCAAAGCATAACATATACAGTACAATAACTATATTAAATGAAAAAGAAAATTCCTGGTACAACGTTTTTTGTTTTTGTTTGGTGTATAGGACGCCATCTTGAGTTTTAAGAAAACCAGAAATTCTTAAATGATGTACACTCAGTATCTTGATTGAGAAGTGCATAAAAAACAAATACTGGATGATCAGGAGCTGGAGGTGGGCAAAATTTCTATCGGCAGTATGTATTTTGCTATATCAAGCTCCTGATCATCCAGTTACAAAACTGAACATATGTATTTTCAGATAATGTGGGGTGGTGATTGGAAGAAGGGTGCTTGGACAACATCCAATGCTTGCAAGCCCTCCAAATACATGGGTTGTGCTAGTGAGTAAAATTGTTAACTATATTCAAACAGTTGAAGTCAATAACTAAGTAATAGTAAATTATACATTTTCAAACAAATTATCAATAGAGAATGCCTCCATACCGTTTGTCGGCAGGTATAGTCAGAAGAAAACATAAAACAAATGATTTACCTTAGTTAACAATGTGATTCGTTTCATGGTTACCATGGTAACCCATCGTGATGTCATATGGGGTAAATAAAACTCTCGACTTGATAGGCTGAATAAATTAGAATAATCTTTCAAAATCAACCAATCAAAAATAGACTATATTTTGTATACACTTAGTTTTGTTTGAGATTCAGTATGGAAATGCAATATCTTTGAAGTTACATCAGGATCACCCTGTACATGGAATATGTTTGAAACAGAAAGAACTGCACATTATCAACTACAGTAAAACCTGTGTATATTGAACATTTTTTTACTGAGAAAACGTTCAGGGTTTGTAGCTGTTCACTCCAGAGAGGATAATTTCTACAAAAGTCAGTAGAGTATGTGGGGAGAGGAAGGGTGTTAACTAGATACAGGTGTTCACTTGAGAGATGTGTCCACTCAGATGGGTTTTACTTTACATTGTAATAATTTGAGCTAGAGTTCAGAGTTCCCTGTGTTAATCCTTTATTTGTCATATTTTTCAAATGTATAGAAAACCAGGAATAGATGTACAGGGACTTCATTAGCAGCAGGCAACAAGCGATTTTCAGCAGTTGTTTTCATATAATCGCCCATTGTTTTGAGGGACTTTTCAACTTTTCCATGTTGAATTTATGATTTCCATTAATATTGCCTGCTGTTTTCATTTACTTAGTCTGCTGTGAAAAATTCTAGTGGAACCCCTGGATGTATATGCAGGAAACAAACCTTTGCTAGCAATTTTTGGCCTGTATGTCAAAACTTTTTATTTCAAATAGGTGAGAAAATGGTTGCTGAGGCTGAAGAAGACCTTGCCAAGTACAAGGAATATGACCTCATTGAAATGAAGCAAGATATACTTGATCATGTTCAAGGTAGGATATATCATGTGATGACCTAACAACATGCTCCATTGTTTGTCGAATTTTTTTGTTGTTGCAGTTGTCATTTTCAAATTAAGATTACATAATACTCTATTAGATCTCAAACATTCTAATGTCTATCATTTGTGCCTTTGAAACTCCTAAATGGAATATCTGCCAATTTAATAAAGGTTAGAATAGATTTTAAATATTACATTGAGCCATTTACAGATTCATGTATGCAGTGTTCATTGGGATTTGCTACTCCGTGGAGTTGCTGATTTGTAGTTTTTTATCATTTTTCACCTTTTCCAGATTCTACAAATAGGAATGGTGTTTCTCCCTAGGTAGAATATTTTCAGCTGAGAAAACAAGAAGATGTTTTCAATGCTTTAAACAATGGACAACCAAGAATAGTTACCGGTAAGCTATCTTATGATTTATTTATATGTTATTTATTTATATTTATATGATTTGCTTTCCTAGTTATTACAAAGTGAAACATTTGTTCCCTCTGAACAATCACAATAGTATCATTCTAGTATAATGTGATTATGTTTTTTGGAAATAGGTACAGTGGATTTGCATCTAAGCCTTGAAAGTGGGGTGGGGGCTTATTAGGGGATGAGCATAATACTGCAATAATGGTTAGTTTTAGACATTACAATGTATGATATCCCATCAATACAAGATTAACATATTCAGGAACTTGGTTGTTTGAATTTTTCAGAGACAAGTAAGGAATGCCACAAGCTGAGAAGGGCCAACCAAAAGACAAAGAAAGCAATTGAGAATGCAGTGGAAATATACAACATTGCTGCACAAGATATAGAAAATGAAGTACAAATAAATTCAACCGAAATGGGATGTATTCTGAAAGCTGATTTCCCATGGAGGTCGGACATTACTCTGGGGAAGAAAAGAGACCTTGTTAATAAGAAAGAATCATTTGAAAGACTTAAAGAGGAAGAGGTCCTCCTTAAAAAAGAAATGAAACAATTTCTATTATATTACAAGTCTAAAGATACAAATGGAAATGTAGGAATGGAAATGGATGTAAACAATATCAACGATGCTACATATATGAAAGGATTGGTGGGTTTACCTTTCTTTAATGATGAGGCCTATGCTTGATGAAACAATTGTTGACAACACCTCGGAGAGTGATGATGATTCTGAATTGTCAGACTTGTCAGACATAGAATCAGACCAAGAGGAAAGAATGGGACAAGAAAACAATACACAATTTAATATTGTCTGAACTTTGTTCTATAAAAAGTGATACATCATTAAATGATGAGTCAGTGAAAGGATCATAATATTAATGTAAATTAAAAAGTATCGAAACTTTAATGTCTAAAACTAACTCAAACAATCCAGGTCAAATCTAAGTTTTTGAAGTTTCTCTAAGTTTTCTATAGCCTATACTTCATTATTTCTTGTGGCGTACTGTAGATTGGGTTCATTTGGCGCTACTTCATTTGGCGATTTTGCCACTTTTTTGGCTATTTAATTTGGCGGACACTGGGGCTTGAACATGCTCTGACACCACAACTCCCATATACACTGGAACAAAATATAAATTGTTACACCCATTCCTACAATTCAACTACTATATTTTAAGCAGTTCCCCTGAGCCAATTTAGAAGTGGCATTTTCTTATTATCACTTTTATCCTTTTTAGATTTGTTAAAACTGACTTAAACACACCAAATCAAATTCCCAGAGATCCTTTCTAAATTTTGGCGAAGATGTAAATTGGTGTTTTTGGTCTATTCTGCCAAATCAAAGCGGGCCCAAATTAACCCAAGCATTCATTACAAATTGAGAGGTCAAAAATTGAAAAGGCCAAATCTTGAAATTTTCCAATACCATTCTCCAATATCAACTTCATTTGTATTAATGTAATGGATTTTGTTGAAATTCCATTCACATCCACAGTATTCTATTTATAAAATCTATGTTACTTTCAACCTGTTAATAGGGAGTTTAAGCTTGCATTGTTTTTTTCACAACCTAGAGGTGTATTGAAGTTATTTAAATGATGCATTTGTATGGGTGATGGGTCATACATTGAGGTTTGCATTTGGATTTTATACGCAAGCTTAAACTCCCTACTATGTATTTTCAGTGAAGAATAAAACAGTAATAAGTTGAACACCTTCAGTACATCTAAAAAGTGTCCCTCATTGGAGGTTGTACTTATGAAGGTTCATTTAACATTAACTCAATTGGTCTTGGTCAAGTGTTCCACAAGTATAGATGTTCTACTTTTTATTATAGGTGTCCTACTTTACAGATTCCATTGCTACTGTATCATAGAGCATATGAATGACATGCACTAATATAACTGCATGTAAAAAATTTGACATTTTGTTCAATGACACTTTGTTCAATGACACTTTGAATACCTGCTTGAGTTATTTCAAGAGTTCTGGTAATCCAAATTTAGGGTCAAGAAATGATAGCTCTCCCT